ATGCATACCCACACCCCACCCACACCCCATAGAAAATATTATACTATCTACATTGTCTCTGATAAACTATTATCTATACAAGTTTTTAAAAACAATGAGCTGCTTGATAAAGCTTGGCACGACAATTAAATGTTGAATTGCTAGGAAGTCTTTTAAGGAGTAGGACTTGGTCTTCACCTTATCAAATCATATAATTTGAAGACAGAAATAAGGACAGAGCTTTTAAACTAATTTAAATTTATTTGGAGGATGATCATCAATCTGTTATTGATTTCAAAGCATTATGTACACCCGATGAACCTGATTTAATTAAATTGTATGAAGTGTTTGAATCAGAATAGAGTGTGGATGTGGTTGTGGGTATGGATATGGGTTTCAGTGAAAAAATTTTGATTAAGAATTCGATTTTTGTGAAACAAAATCAAGATTTTCATCGATTAAGTAGATTTCCTTTGTTTTCTCACAAAGAAAGTTCATTTAATCGTTTAAAATCTTGATTTTCTTTCACAAAAATCGGATTTTTAATCGAAAATTTTTCACTGGGATGGGATTGCGAATGAAAGGAAACCGAACATCCACATCCACATCCACATCCTTAAAAGAAAATTAAAACTAATACATGAGAATCAGGAGCTTTTAGCGTTGATATTAATTTCACACCACTATTAATTATTTTTCGTCACACTTTAGAAAACTGACGAAATTTACGAAAGAAAAGAATAAAATAATAATGTCGCATCGAAGTGACCCTAGATCATAAACAAAATTAGTGTCACTCTTATGAAGAGAAAAATAGAATGCTATACATAAAGATTAAATTATGCATGTAAAACAATTAATAAAATTCATTTTATCTTCGCTGATATCATATTTTTCACATCGATGATAGTTCAATCAATCATTTTTCATTTAAGGTTGGAGTATGTTCCACTATCTCTCAGAAAACTAGCTCGAGTTCTGTTTGATACGACTTCATTGTTGAAAAAGTTATTCGAGTTCGATTCGGATCGATTCGAACCAAATCGAACCGTTATAGTTCGGTTCTGTCCATTTTCGGTCTTTTGTGTTCCGCGACCGCCCACAACTCGTCCAACTACAGTATCTTTATTTTTCGTCTTTGGTTTTTTTCATCGAAGAAATTTCGTCAGAATTCAGAGAATAGAGTACCTGGATAGCAAAGCAAGGCTATCACCTTTTCTAATTCCGAATGGAGAATATAATTTCTGTGAAGACTTCCTAGTTTTCAAAACACTTACATGAGATGTAGAAACGAAAAAGACAATAAATATTCGTTGTTTTCGTCACACAAGACCTTATCAATCTTGCCACTCATAAAAATATATGACAACACACTAACAACTTATAAAGTTTGCTTTCATACTAAACAGTAAAAGACACGTTGCACGAAAGTATTTGATTCTTTTTACTATGAGTGAAGTATTAACTGTGATGAGATTTGAATTAATACCAAATGAAATTTTAATGGACTGCTTTGCATATCTTAGTGCATCTGAAATTTTTCATGCATTTGATCGACTGAATTATCGTTTTTATACACTTATTCGAAATATTAAATTACATCTCAATTTTCATCACATTCGAAAGTCAATATTTGATCGATTTTGTAAAAAAATATTATTAGAACCACTAATTAAAAGTCAAATCTATTCCATGCATTTATCGAATAAAGGTTCACATGGCCAAATCGAAGCATTTCTATCATTATTTTCAATCGATGAATTTCCTCATCTTCGATCATTAACATTGACTTAAGTTGCAGAAAAAAATATAGAAAACTTGAAATCAATGATATCATCTATCCCAGAATTATATTCTCTTCACTTGTTTGATTCTGAAAATGTAGAATGTGAAACATTAGTTCCTCTAACAACGTCTAAAGTACGAACATTATCTGCAGATACATTAGTTGTTTTACCGCCATGGTTCGAGAGATTTTTATCAATTACAAGTTTCACAGTACTATCTAGTGAAGTGTTTGACTTGTGCGAACTGATGGAATATATGCCGATGTTAAAATATTTACATGTTGAACATTGTCGTTATATGGGTAAATCATATCAGAAGCAGGCACGTTATAAAACGTCTTGTGCTGTTCATTTAAAACAGTTGATTGTTGATGACATACAGTTTCCATTTGTGGCATTTCAAAAGCTTTTAGAGGCAACACCCAATCTAAAACGTTTAACAATATCTGCAGGTAATGAGGAGGATATGTTCGATGCGTGTCAATGGGAACATTTGATTTCATCTTCATTACCTCACTTAGAGATTTTCAAATTTCAATTCGGATGCGATCGTGAATATTTTAAGAATGACATTATAAATATGTTAGAACAATTTCAAACTGATTTTTGGCATAAACAACATAATTGGTATACAGAATATTTATTAACAAAATATTCAATATTTATTTATACGACATCTTATACATCAAATAAGGATCGATTATTAATATATACCGATGGGTATATTTATATTAATTCAAGCACATTTGATAGTGTGGCAGATTTAACAGTGCGACAACAAGAAATAGAACAAAAATGCCAATCTTGTTTTAGGAATATAATTTCATTCGAATTTATTACTACAGAAAGCAAACAAAATAATCCTTTAAAAACAAAACATATTGAAATTCTTAAAAAAATGATTAGTTTGTCTAATTTGAATTATTTAAAAGTTTCATCTAACTGTAAAATAGAAACATCGTCAGTATTATTACAAATATTAAAGGAAGCATCTCAATTATCATCAATAACTATTGATCAAAACCAATTAATATCGTTTTGTCATGATGATGAATTGTGCAAATATTTAAATAAAATGATAAAAAAATTAGATTTATATTATGACACAGATCGCTCTACATCGGCATTCAATAATTATGGTGAATTAAGAAAGTTTTGTAAAACATTTTCCAATATTGAAGATCTTAGATGTTACATCGATAAAAAAACTGAATTTTTATTTGTGTTAAGTCAGCTATCAAAATTATCACATGCAACAACTTTTGTGAAAACATCAGATAATTGTAAAATTGTTTTATCTTGGGTTAAAAATGAATTAACGAAACTAAATGTAAGCTATAATGTACACAATTATCGATGGTATGAAGTTCCATATCCGGTGATGGTTGAGGGTGTGGGTGTGGGTGTGGCTGTGGGTGTCGAAAAGAAAACTACCTCTTTAATACCAACACCCACCCGAACACCCTGCCACACCCCATTCACACCCACACCCAATCACACCCACACTCACACCCACACTCATCAATACCCACACCCACATCCATCTTTCTTCATCAAGTAAAATGTGAGCTTCAAAGAAGTGAAAAGTTTAACTCTGGTTTTACTTTTCAACTTTTCATCACGACTGTGAAAATATAAATTGTTGATACCCATCGAAAACGACCTATTGTAGACTTACGAGACATCTCATGAAAAAAACTTTTGGTATAAAACAGCGTTCGAACGCCAACTTTTCGAAAAGTGCTATGCTCGCGTTTAAACACTTTTTGTTATTGAAAAACTAGTGTTTTACATACTAGGCAAGTAACTATTCGCATTCGTATTTCGTGTAAAACTATCATTTTATGAAATAGTATTTGCTTCCATGTAAACATTTTGCATTATCACAATTAAAAATATATCGCTTAAATAGATTCTTTATTGCGATGAATTTTATGAGTGTAGTAGTATAGCAGAATGTATCTGAGTAGTACGAAAGAAAAAAACGGCTGCATAACAAAAAAGACAAAGTCCAAATGAATTAGAACAGGGTGTGGGTGTTGAAAAGAAAACTACCTCTTTAACACCAACATCCCCCCGAACGCACATCCACACCCACACCCATTCATGCCCACGGCTACCGATTCTACTCTTCTGTATAAATATTGTTCATCGACTAGGAATAGTGTTACATGAACTTCAATGACTAATTATGATCCAGAAAGTTCTGAAAGTCAAAATTTGGCATCATTAGTGATCGGTTCTGGAAACCCTAAATAGCTATGCAAGCAGTTAAATAGCTACAGGCAACTTAAACAGCTATATAAATACTTAAATAGCTGAATGTTTATTTAAAAAGTATCTCTTTTGAGAAGCTACGTTTTCAAATATGTTAAGAGAGAATTACAGAAATGGAATCACTAGAAATAAACAGTGTGATTATAAAAATGATAGAAGGGAAGATATTGCAGATGGAGATACACTGTATTCGATTCCTTGACGTCATAAAATCGTATCGTTTACATATAAATCACACGCTCGACCATATATAGATGAACGTAAGAGTAACGCGATTATGAACGCTGCGCAGAATCGATTGTATAGTAACATACCCAAGAAAGAAAAGATATCACATTAGATGATATGCTTATTGGCACAAACAGTATTCAATGGTTTATGAAGGATCAGAATGATATACTTTTTCAGTTTAATCACAATATATATACAACAAATAGAACAGGAAAAATAAATGATCGGAGGAGAAACAACTAGAGAAGTGAAAGACACATGTAGCGACAAATATTATAGACGAAAATTGACAGATGACAGTAGGATGCGACTCTTTAAAATTATCCGATCAATTATTCCAATATTAGGTGATTAGCTCTTTTAGAACGGGATTTTCTTTCAATCGAAAAGGGATTCTTCTATCAATTTATTGTATTTGACTCAAAATTATTACGCAAAAACTTTATGATAATACATCAAAAGAATAGAGGGAGAGCCCATAATGTCTGTCTATAGTAGAAGAAGGAAAGAAGAACATCTGAGAAGAATCTATATGGCAGAAAGAGAGAAAAGATATGCATAAGATGGAAAGTTGGGCGACCTATTACCTTACAGATCATAATAGTTTAATGTAGAGCAAACATTTTCTTCACTGGAAAAAAGGTAGTATAACGTATGTACCACCGTCCCCAAAGGATTAACAAAGATGTTGGTGTGGGTATGGGTATGTGAATATGAGTGGATTAAGCTCGTGTTTCTGATTCATGTAATGCCGATGATTTTTCAAGTTGCTGCGCAACTCTAATGTGTCATTGTCTTTTAATTTTCAAGAAGGAAGAAATAAGCAGTTTTATTGCTCTGTACTAAGTATAAAATAGACTCAGAAACAAATCAAAATCTCATTTATTTAGTATTCGTCATTGAGCAAAGGTAAGTGAAAACAACGGCCATTGTCAAATGTTGAATCTGAGATTTCACGGTAAGAGGATAGAGAAAATCTTTGACATTGAGAACATATGAATAGTGTGTGGATATTTCCTATTGATCTGAGAGGCATTAGGAAGATGCTGGGTATTATAAAAAATATTTTCCAATGGCAGCACTGCCAACAAGGTGGCAGTGCAGTATAGAGTTGACTGATAGTTACTTGAGTCGTGTGTCTGAGGTGCACGCTAGGATGTTTTCTAATGAGCTACACTCACACTCAATGAGTTTATATTTCCTGTATCAGAAGTAGATACGAATGAATCAAAAAGAAAGTTTTCTGTTGGTGAGTTCTTGTTTTTGTTCATTAATGTATGAAAATGCATACGGCTATATTCGGATTATCTGTGTAGTTTGATGAACACCTTGAATGGAAGCTTTTTCCAAGCATCATAATATTCTGGTTACAGATCAGATCTAATGTGAAGTATTTTAAGCTGGAAGCTCAGCTAAATTTGTATTTTCCTAGCGGAAACTGTAGTAAACAATATTGTTGGCTGTTGTGCTAGTAAGCATATGAGGTTTTGGTAGAATTTTCAAAGAATATAGTGCTTTTTCACAATAATGTCGTGAAAGCTTTTCGTTTCTTGATCTCTCAGAAAATTATTTACAACCTCCTTTTTCGGGTACATGCAAATGTTGTCGTCGTGGTTTAGTTTATTTGGATTTCTGTTGAGTGTCAATGTCTGTATATCAATTTGATTAGATAAGTTTATGAAAAAATCATCACATGGGCCTGCGTATCATTTTTCAGAATGGTATTGAGACTCCTGTCGATGTCCACACACTTACTCATCCATCCTTCTGAAACATTTAATACTAACGTTGTTGAAGCCTTCAAGGTAGTATATGAGACAGAAAGAACTGAATATTCAGTTGAGGATTAAGCGAGTCACAGCGACGAGCATTACTTGTAAATCATATATATAGAAATAAATTGTAGACTAATCTTAAAAGAATATGTTAAAAGATTTCAATACTTTCATAAGTTAATCATATGTATATTAATTGAATTGTTTTTTGTTTTGTTTTTGATTTGAGAGAAGTTTATTATGAATTGATATATAGATAATTGAAAAATCCCATGATGAAATCGAATTTTTTTTCTTTAAATATTAAAAAAGATATTTCAAAAGTAAATAATTCTAATTTCGATTTCAAATCTATAAGATTTGAATATTATCTTTAAAGAACAAATTCAATTGAAATAATATATTCTCAATATAATCTAAGATATATAAAAAATGAAAATAAATTTTAGTTAAAATTCTATAGTTGAAAAAGCAAAGAAAGCAAAAAGTAAAATGGCGGTTAATATAAAAAAAAGAAAAAGTAAAATGTCATTTGTAAATAGTTCAATTGAAATAAATGAGAAAAATTCAAGTTCATCGTTGGAAAAATTAATTATTTTATTAAAACGAATTATTCGGTTAGATATAAATAAATTGAAAAAAAAACAAATTTGATGAAATAAATCGTTTTTGTTTAAATAAAGGTATACAAATCGTCAACGAATATTGTCTTATATTCCATTAATATTATTTGAATTATTATTTCCATTAATATTATTTGTAATAATTATTTTTATTTCTCATTATTTATTTAATAATGATGAAAATAATTCTTTATTTAATTTAAATTCATATGATAAATGTTCTCTTAATCCATATATAAATAATATAAATACTATAAATAATAATAATACATTAAATAATGATTTATTTATAAATAAATATTCAACAAAAATCAATCTAATTATACGTTATTCGAATAAATCAAATGATGATGATTATTTATATAATAAAATAGTAAATGATATTATATATAAATTAAAAGAAAATAATTCTTTATTATATAATAAAACAAATATTATTCAATGGAATAAATTATCAGAAGAATATAAAAAAGATGATTATTTATTAATCAATTATCTTAATTCAATTAATATAATTATTAATATTGATAAATTGACATATGAATTATTTTCATATTCTATTATTATTAAAATGCCACAATATAATCAATTTAAAGAAAAATTATTCTCGAAAATCGATTATTCTTTTCTTCATCGACATCAACATCCAGCTGAACAAATTGTATTTCAAATTTTTCTTTTTTTCTTTTTTATTAATATCGAATAAATTTAAATTAAAAATAGGATTTATTTAAAAATTCTTATCCTTCATTTTTATATATTAAAATGTTTATTGATTCAATAGTTGTTAATAAAATGTTAAATGAAGATATATCAATAATTGATTCATTAAATTATCGTCGAATAAGTTGTACATTATATCGTCATCATAAAACAATTCCAACACGATGGTCATTCATATTTATGGAAATTTCATTATCAATAATATATCTTAGTTTTTTTCTTATTATAACTAATTCAATTATTCAAGAAAATAATAAAAAAGTTAAAGAAATTCTTAAAATAATTCATATTCAACCATTAATTAATTATTTTGCATGGGCTTTAAGATATTTAATTATACTTTCATTTATTACTTTTTCTATCACAGGTAACATTTATTTACAACTCGTTTTCTTATATTAACATTTTTTAAGAACATATATATATATGTATT